CCAAAAAAACCTTTGAACATTCAGATCTAATAATGGTAGAAAATTCTTCTTTGATAAATTTAAAAAATATTGCACTATACATAAAATCTATTGAAAGCTCTTCTAACCATTTACACCATATCAAAATGTTGTGGCAGAAAAAAGAAACTAAATCCTCAAAACAGTAACGAAGTATCTTCTATACAACTATAATCTTTTGGATTTTTTTATAGATTAAAGTAATACAAGCTATATATATCTTTATAAACCTTTGATCTTCAAAACATTACTTCAATAAGATACCTTTCAAATTGTTAACTAAGATCAAATTAAACTTTTCTAAACTTTGTGTTTTTGGCATCTTAGTTTTTATTGTTCATATATCTCTTGCTTATAGAAAATTGATTTGCGGTCAAAGCAATGCATTTATCTTAGTCTAGATTCTCATTTCAAAGAATTTGGTGTTATAATCTATAAAGTAGTGTATATTTGTCTCTAAAGATGTTTGTTTCTTACTCATCTGAAAATAGTCATCATAATCTTACTCTAACTATTGAACTTAACACATTCTTTGATGTTTTTGATGTCTCTTACAGTTCTAATCTAGTCCCTTCTATGCTTATACTAAAACTGCCAATTACATTGTCGGCTACATTGTTAGAGCCTACAATTTTGAATTATTTTCAAAATCTAAAATTATCTACTATATTACCATCACTTTGATTACAAATACAACAACCAATTTCTTCAAATGATCAAATTAGTTTGCTTCCTGCTATTGCATCACATTAATTAACCTACTTATGATATCTTTTGAAGTACAATAATAATTTCATCAATATCAATCTTATTAAATTTTTCTTAAGTGCTATAGAAGAAGGTACCAAATTGATTTTTAAAAAAAATCTGCCAATAATATTTGTTGGATTTATACAATAGACTCCAAATATTCTTCAATATTAGCCAACAATACTTTATCACTTATTTTACTACCTCCAGATTATAAATCAATTAGTACCAAGTAGGTATTCAAAATCAAATCCAATATTTATAGTAAACCACCTTATAAATAGGCCCAATTCAATGCTTATAGCTTTTGATAAATACACGAGATCAATTTTCAAAAAATATATGTTCATACAAACTACCAGGAGTTAATTTAAACAATAACTCCTTTAGTTGTTTATTGGAACTAGACTATCCTTTACATAGATGTCATCACAATATTTTTGAATAGTCACTTGCTAGAAGATGTTTACATGTTGCAACCTCCAAGCTATGTTCTCCTAAGGAAAAAATATCACATCTATAAACTTGAGCAATCTCTTTATGAATTGCCTCAAAGTCCATAAACTTGGTACAATAGAATTGATATTGATTTATAGAACTAGAATTTAATAAAAACCATAGTTGATTCTAATGTTTACTATCTATGCCATGCTTTTACACTTGCAATAATCATCTTTTATATAGATGATGTTTATATTATATGATCAACAACCCCATTCATCTCGCAATTGAAACAACTTTTATTAAAATAATACCAAATGACAAATGTGGGCTCCCTTTGCAAGTTTTTTGGTATCAAATTTTTATAAACAAATTCTGGCACAATGCTTCATTAGGCTATATATGTTTCTTCTCTTCTTATAAAGTATCATAATTTAGTCAAATATCCAAATTATATATTATTACCTAAAATATTGTATTTTTAAATAAGAACCAATAGCCTACTAGTAGAACCGCAACTATATTAAATGTTAATGAAGGAACTCAACTATCTAACTAAAGCTAGATTAGACATCAGATTTGCAATTTCTTTACTCAATTGGCTCATGCACAAATCACAACTTTATTTTGATGCTAGCCTTATTGTCCTTGTCTATCTATATTATTATCCAATACTTGATCTTTGATATCCAAAGAAAGAAGAAGCTACTATCTATTGCTATTCTAATATTGATTATATTGACAATCTCAATACTTGCACATTTGTAAGTGCATTTTTCTTCTTTATTGATTGCTCCCCTATCTTGTAAAGTAATAAGAAATAGAAGATCATTTTTTATTCTTAATATAAAGCCTAATAACATACACTTGCCAAAACTATATACAAAGATGTGTGGATCCACAATCTTATCTATGAACTTAACTTTGGTGATGACAAACTAACAACCATATGGTGTGATAATTAAGTTCTATTAAAATTTCTAAGAATCTAATATTTCATAACTACACCAAACATTTTAAAGTTGATCTTTGCTTTATTTTCCAAAAAATAGAAGATGGTACAATCATATGTGAGTTCATATCTTCTATGGATCATCTTATTAATATCTTGACTAAAGCTTTTGGTAAGAAAAAATTCAAGCATTACGAAAGTGCACTTAATCTATGCAACTATTTCAACACCAACTCTTATACACTATATCTCCAAGCCTAGGCTTTCTTCTTTACATATTCTTCCACCTTTCATCTTAACTTAAATTTTTTATATTGTATTCTATTAAATCCTTTCATCTCTCTCTTATATGACACCTATGTTGTATAAATATCAACATGTTTGCCAACATAAACAACATAGTACCACTTTGGAGCCAAAAACTTTAATTCTTTGTGCGTTTTTGTGGATTTTGCTTCTAGCTTATAAAAGAAAAATCCTATTTTATCAACTCTAACCAATAGCTATTAGTCCATTAGTTCCTCCCTTCTAAGAATTTGACCTTCTAAAAAACTAATTGATTTGGTCAAGACATAATGAGCACTTCTAAACACTAACCTCAATGTTATGAAAAATAGTTGGATCTATCCAAGCATACACACAAAACTTCATTTGTATAGTAAAACCTTCCTTTAGCTTCTTCATCTTGAATCCACTCGAGTATCCTCACCATTGAATATTCCTGCACCTCTTGTTGCATCCTTGGCAATGCTATGACTTATGAAACCAATCATTGCAACCAAGGGGGAGTGTTGGCAGTTGCCCTTGTTAGGATTCCATTTGTTGTGCTAGTAACACTTGCACAACTTAAACCTGTACTGTTCCCTTAATTGAATTACTATCATTCCCTCCAGTCTGGCCGCTATAGGCTTCCTTCAACACTAGCTGCGGCCCTGAAATAATGATTTAATAAAAAAAAATTAGTGTAAACCACAGCTTTGCACAGCAGTGAGGGTTCAGCATTGAATCATATTCGAGCCTATGTAGATCACCATTAGCTTATGGGAGGTCGTAACAGACGGATCAATCAGCAAAGGCTGTGCGTGCAAGTTATACTCATGGACTACATGTGACTGAAGAAGAAGACGAAGAAAGAAAGAAAACGAAACAAGTTGCTATTGCAATAACAAGCAAAATTCAGCTCATGAATTTAAGATTCATATTAGACAATTGTTGTTGTTGAGAAGCTCTGGGTGGATGGACGCGGCACATGCGAATGGTGCCCATTGTTGAGCGTTCAACAGCAAGTGCTGAGAAGGGTGAGAAGCACCTCTTACATCACGATTTTCCACGAGTCCCAATGTGGGTGCCGCTGCAGCACCTAGACCATTACTCTCACTTCCTTCTAACTAATCTTGTACACAATCCTTTTAAGAACAATGAATTCTCCTCCCCAGTGGAAGCTTCACCCAGCACGAATTTCATTCCATAGGAACAAGGTTGATCTGATCGATAAAACTCGCTCTCTTACTACGTAGGTCTTCAGGGACCACTTTCATTAGCCAATATGCCAGCTCACGGAGGTATTGCAATGCACCGAAGATTTCACCAACATTGTGTTGCAGATGTTTCAATGCATATGAGCACGCGCTCATTTCTACACCGCACCGATCTGCTGAATCCCATATCTCACCAAGGAACCATGATTCTACAACAATGAAGTTTCCATAGGTGTCGTGATCATACACACTCCCAATTAACCAGCTGGTTCTGCAAGTCTTCATACTTGCTTCTTTACACCCTACCTACCTCCTGCAGCCTGTGATCACTTGACTCCCCAAGTTTGCAACTTAATTGGCACCAACATACTGAACCCTCCATAACAAAACCCGCCTAATTCCGAAAGCATTCCTGGGAATCATGTTTACCAATTTGTCAGAGTATGCACGTCGTTCGGGATGGCCAAGCGTAGAGGAATTTGAATTTGTCGTATACGCTAATCCTCAGTATGTCCATTTCCGATTTATTCTGTTTGTAATTTACACTATTCCACTAATTCCGGCCTGTGCCCATGACTCTCATCTATTCTATATATATGTACGCGAGTGAGACATTTAAGCTTACTGGTGTGAGGGATGTCAAACAAAACAGTTATGGTCAGTCGGTACAGGTGGAGACGGTGTAATAAATTCAGAGGAATTCGCCACAGAGAATCGAATACTTCCAATTTCGACACTAAAATTCGTGACTGAATTTTTGCATGTTTCCGTGCTGCTTTACGTAAGCATATTTTGCACCAGTTAGAGAGTTGAGAAGCCAAGTCATGTAAGAAACATCGCGCAATCTTCGAAGCAATGCGACGAGTAGCTTGACTTGGAATTTCAGTCACGCATACAATGTCATTCACAGAACTGCAATTGAGAGGGTCATCGTAGGACCCCATGTTGAGAAGATAAGTGATTGCTGAGGTAGACGTGGATCACCGCCTTTATCACCACCTCCAATTGCTCCTTACTTTCCTGATTGTTTGACCCTTCACGGTTCGTCATACAAATCCATTTGCCAAAGTGCAAATAGCAGTAGCAAGTCTCAATATACTTCGCTGCCTGCAAAATTCTGAAGAAATGACTGCAACCCAGTACTCACAATTTGTCCTGCGGAATCTTGGCACCGACATTTCATCGCTTCTGGCAGGATAATCCTGTGAATTCGCAGCGACGCATTAGGCAGCGCAGGTAGACACACCAACGAATAGCTGAAGTGCATTAAAGTAAAAGATAGGACTCGGAAAGTAGCCCTGAGCTCCTAAAAGAAAGAAATCGCAGAAAGCACCATGGTGATGACTCATGCCACGCCATTGATGAGAGCGGGTGGCGATGGAACCAATGGGCCAACCTCACTCAGAAAGATCACAGGTACGACGCAGCAGACATTGCGGAAACATTGACCATCCAGTTGCACTTCGGGCACAGTCCTGCAACACCCAGCCGTGTTCTTTGCTCGGATATGATTCTCTTGCTTCGGGTATATCGCTTGCCTCGTCTAGCTGTGTGTAGGCTCCATCTGATTCGTGAACATCGGCAGTGGAAGCTTGAACAGTCTCCTTTGACCCGAATTCGTTTGGAATGCGTGATTGGCGATTGAGGGCTAGGGGGTGTTTCTGAAAATGTGGCGACATTGTGGAACTCTCCTCCCCGACGGACTCTGCAGTGTAGGAAAGTAGAATCGATTTGGAAGGCGGGATCCTTCACGTGTTGAATTTTTGTTTTGGTTGGAGACAGCGAAGGACCTTGGATTCAGTTTTCGCTTGGGATTTTGACCTAGGTTTTCAGCAGAGTTGCAACAATGTGGCCTCAGCTGGCATGTGGTAAGCTGTCGGCGACATGGGTGATGAATCCGCAGGCAGTCGCAGGGTTAGGCCTTGACATGTCACATGTGGCCGTTGTGGCCGTAGGAGGGTTTCCAAGAGCATGGCGGCGGCAGGAGAATTGGCAGGGATGTGTGATAAATGTGGGAAAGTGTACGATGCGAGGTAGACAGGTTGCGCCGGTTCGATTTGCTGCCATGAGCGGGAATGACGCTGCGGAGATGGCACAATTGAGGTTAACCAGAAATTCGGACGGCGTAGGATGTGGTCCTGCGCGAGTGGAGGAGGGTTTGGTGTCCTCTGTGGGCACGGCTTCCCCGGCTCCTATCTCGTTTCGGGATTGGCACATGGCTGATAAGCAGCTGTTGGTCATTTCTGCCGCTGCTTTTGCGGTATGTTTCTCCGTATCGCAGAAGTTTGCCCGCTTAGTTGTGGAGTGCTTTGTGTTGTAGATTGCTGGTTTGTAAGTTTTCAATTTTCTTGCCAACTTCATCTTTAATATAATGATCGGAGTTGTTTTCCGAATGAAAACCATTTGCTGAATTATCCTACAATTTAATTGATTTAATGAACGTTATTTACATTCACATGGCATATTCTTGGTCTTGCAGACTACGGGATTTATGGCCATTTTACTTGCAGCCGCTATTCCAAGTCTATTGGTAAGCTGTTCTCTGCTATTCAGCAGCTTTGACTTCAGTGCAGCTCGTCAGGGTCTATCAATCAAAATGTTAGCATTAAGCCGAATCCATTTTGTTTTCGCTTCACTATTGATAGTAATTGGAGTACAATTTTTCATTGCCCTTCTGTGTACCCTCTGATGTTATTAGTGGCATTCTGTGCCACACTTCTATCCGTGAGAACAGGCAATTAAGAAGGCTGCTGAAGCATTGGAGAAGCTGGCAGATACAGCGAGAGAGGAATTGCCTGGCACCATGGCGGCTATTAGATTGTCAGGCATGGAGATCAGCGACCTCACAATGGAGCTCAACGAATTAGGGTGCGTAATCTTTTAATCGTATCAATTCTTCACGAATTAGGAAAACTGCTTGCAATCAATCTTAAAAAGTAGATAAAATAAACAGGGATTGCAACCATGTAATTTTCGTGCTCAATCATCATATTGTCACTCTCAGAGTCTTTAATACTTTTACCAATCAGCTTCAAACATAATAACTGCTTCATTGTTGGTATTTGGTTAAGTTCGTAAGTTCGTGACTTTTCTCATTTTCCGAAAAGGTGCCGCCCTTTACGTAAGGATGGCCGTAATACGCATGATTATTGTCAGAGTCTTAGTCTGGTCTTCTTCTATTGAACATCCAGGCAAGAGATTTCCAAGGGAGTTCGAAGTTCAGCTCGTGTACTTTCATCTGCGGAGTCTGGAATGCGGCAAGTGGGTGGTGTTGCTTCCAATGGTAAGTGCTTCATTTGTGCTTCCGTACGGTTATCATAAAATGACATAAATCTAAGTAAATCATCACAAGAAGATGAAGCTCAATTTTATAACGTACATCATACTTCCACCCCCCTGATATAATGATATTTGAGAGCATGCTTTCATGCCCTGGGTGGTAAACGTGCAATTGATCAACAGCCATTTTCCCCTACTTTTGAGTTCTTCAGGTCTCTGTCAAAGGATCACGTAATTGGGGTTGTGTTCAAGGATATCCACAAACTTTAAATGGTTGCTCAGTGTGGCAGGAGCAAGCAGTCATTCCGGCACAATCAATGCAGCCAATACTGGCCAGAACCGCAAAACAAGTGCGGGAAAGCCTGGTTCAAACTCGGACTCTCATTCATAACTTGCAAGTTCTGTCACGTGTCTCAGGGTGGATCGGGTCCCTTCAAGGTCGTACTCCTATATTAATTGTACCTACCCAGAAAAAAGATCACAAATCTTGAAGACTAGGAATCTGCCGATCATTTCTACATGGTAACGGCGATCGCCCTTTGCGAGGAGGTGATGGACTTGAATGAATGTTGAGTTACCTCTCGGTCAGAATTGTAGATTTAAATGGCTTCTCTGGCCAGGTGCGCCTCTCTTTGGCTGGTCTGCACCATTGAATATCATGGTCGAGATAGACTCTGTTGTTTCATGAACATATTAGAGCATGGATTATACAAGTAGATCGGATGCAGGATGGAAATGTCAAATATTGCTTTTAGTTCCATCTGTTATGCTGACCTCAACAGTATGTAGATCACAACAGTCCTTACCACTCTAGGGACCTAAAAGCATTGTTCAGATTGTGAAGTAACACAATAGTGAACTCTTTGTGCCAAGTGTAAGTCTTGCAAAACCATCTGAAAACTGGAAACTGTAATTTAACATTTGGGTTGCACAACTCAGTCAGTTGTCTGGTGATTGTACACTGTTGGGATGGTCTTTTGTTTCAATCTTCTATGCAAGACTTCTTAGGTGGCTGAATTTCCATCAGTTTCTGTCGCAAATGAAATTGTTCCCACATTCGAGATGAAGAGGCCTACTCCGTCTTCTCCTTTAACAGCGATTGATTCTACTTGGTTTGGACTCAACAATGCTTAGCGTATCCTTGACGAGCTTATATTAAAAGGCCGTCAACACTCGGTGAAGCAAATGATTCGCTAGAAGAGTGGCAGCTAACCTGAGGTCGTTGCAACGCGGAGGTCACGAGGTTGGCGATGGAGAATATACGTGTTAGAGAGCAACTTAGCAAGTTGCAGCATTTCCATACGAGTGAGAAGAAGGAACTCGAGTCAGAGATGAAATGAACAGTGCGGAAGTACAGCATTCTGTGGCAATCATGCAGCTCCAATCGGACTTGGAATTCGCGGGGATCACAGTTGTAAAGAAAGGAAGTTGAATTTTTTCCCCGCATCCTCTCCATAAATAGTGAAAAGACACGATCTCTCGACTACATACAGAGAAGGAAGCGGTCATCTTTTCCAAAAGTTGCTGAACTCGGACTGAGAATGAGATCGATTTACTGCGAAAAGATCCCTAAGGTTTTACTCTAAAAATCGAAGGTGCACATGCTGAAGCCGAGATGAGGGGTGTCCTGCTTGGATCAAGATAAGTGTGCTTGGCAGCATAGGAGCTCTTCAGAAAGTAAGTAATGATCGAAGGTGGAAGCATGGTTTTGCTCAACAATGGGTTGCAACTGGTTCAATTGCTTGGTGATAGGTGTTCATTAGTTTAGGATTCATAAGGTAGATAAGCTATGTTGTGAGATGTCAGATCATTGCATAAACCCAAGTTATTTTTTGATTAGTACTATTTATCTAATTGGTTATGGCTTGAATTCTTTTTGCACTCAGGTTTAGCTCCACTTGTGATTTTTTGTTATTTTATTTATTAGATTTAAAATTGTAAAGTTTAAGGATTAGTTAGATTTATTTTAAGAATTAGCTTTAGAGTTGGTTTAGGATTTAGGATTCATTCACAATTAGGTTGAAGCCAATTAGAGTTAGGTTTATGTACATCTTAGGTTAGAATTAGGTTGAATGAAATGTCTAATTCAAAGGTAATTTATATTACATGCTATGAAGACATTAAGGTATGTGTTGATTTGGTTGTAATTTAAATAATTACTTATGTCATTTAGCATAAAATTATATTTTAAGAATATCAGGATTTATCATCTTGGTTTATTTGGAAGTTCAAAATAATAGAACATTATAGATTGTATAAGTTGAATAAATAATCAATCATTAAGATAATATGAAAAAGACAAATCTTTAATTATAAAGCATATTTGTAGATATATATACATATAAATTAAAAATATTGATAAAATTATTTATAAAATAATTTAGATTTAAAAATAATAAGTACTTAGCATCAAATACTTAAAACTATATTGTGTAGTTTGTATAAACTAATATGTTGTATTCATATCTTGTAGTTCTGTTTATTTAATACAGATGGAGTATAGTGGACTTACTTGTCTTATCTAATTGTTTCTATCAATGTTCAAATAAGAAGTAAGGAAGTAGATGCAATGTCCTTGCAATATAATATACATTATATTTGGTGGTTGTTTAGAATATGTTGTAAACAATCTCTAAGAGGTTTTTAGTGGCTCATATGTTTAGTTGTGTAGAACTAAAAATTGTGTTTTTTTTATAGATCTTAATATAATAAATCCACACAATTCATATTCTCCTAATTATTAGTGATTTGAGTATATTTTATTAGCTTAATAGATCTACTGAAGCACATATTTAAGTTAATAATTGATTTCAGTTATTAACTACTTATATATCTTATATTTGTGAATGGATTTTAGTTCTACTTATATTCTTGCTATTGTTTGTAATTGAATTATTATATAGAAATATTGTTAAGAGTTAAATTATTATAAGTTAGAGATTTTAACATTTAATTTTTATGTATATAAAAGCTAAAAACTCAATATATTCATTGATTTTTTTTTATCAATTTTAGTATATTAATATTTATATTTTATTAAATATATTATCACAGAGATTTTTAATTTAATCTTATTTTTTGCAATATATTAATCATGTTTTAAATATTTTTTCATCTGAAAAATCAATTTTAATATTAAAATATTTAAAATAAAAAATATAAAGAAGACATTGAACTTAATATCTAAAAATTGTGGAATCTAAATAATAATAAACTTTAAAATGCATATTTTGTATTCATATAAACTAAATGCTATTGAATTTGAACCAAAATAAAACAAATTATGGATAATATAAGATTCTAAATATAAAAGTAATAAAATAATATTTTTTAATTACTTGTCTTTGTATGGATTATTTAATATTTTAATTAGATATAATCTATATTTATATACATAAGTAAAAATAGATATTATCTTATTTATGATTTTTACAATAAATTCTTATTGATTAAATTTTTTTAGAAAGATAATATTTTTAAAACATGTATAAAATAAAATAAAAATGTAATATTTTTAATATCTTCTAACTTTATTGTAGTGATATCAAAAAAATTAGTTTACTTTATCATCTAAAAAAGCTTTAATATCAGTTTCAATTTTATTTTATTTTTCTTTTTTTAATTAAACATAATTTAAATTATCTTAAAATAAATTTATTTATATATAAATATTATATAATTGATTAAAACTCATATGAGTTTTATATTTCTAATAAACAATAGACTATTTGTTTTCTTTAAAAAGATCGAAGTTGTATAGGAGTTGTGCAATTTTCTCTATTATTTGTAAAGAATATAAAATACTATCTTATAATTTAAAAAAAATTAATTCTTCTATACTAAAATAAATATAATAATAAAAAACTAAAAATATTGAAATAAAAGTAACTATAATATTTATCAAAGAGATGAATTATAAATATTAAAAATCTCAATCCATACTTATGTCACTTAAAAGCAATAGATATTTACTCAAAGATAGTAAGATATTAGAACTAGAATGGCTATTGCCTAAGACAAGAAGACTAGATATTCTTGAATCAAGACTAGAAATTAAAAAAATTTGTGGATAAAAGTGAAGAAGGTGTGAACTAAAATAAAATATTTTTAATTAGAAGACTATTTTAATTCACAATAATTTAATTATCTAATTAATATTATACTTCTTTATTAATATTTAATTTATGAGCAATAATTCTACTAAATTTTCAATTGTAAGCTAAATAAATCCTTCTATTAGATGATTTATTCTAACTCACAATTACTAATTAACTTATGAAATGATTTGATAAAAAATATTCCTATTTTTTACTAAAGAATTTAGTTCCTTTAACTAATTTGATTCACAATAATACAATCTACTACAACAATAGAAGCTAATTCAAATAACTATCAAGAATTCCACCTTAAAAAAATATATATATATATTATATTTTCCATCTTTTAAAAAAGTCATCCAAGGTTAAAATTCATCTAAAATAATTCTTTATCTTTAAATAAATTTTCATCCATAAATAATTTTTCATCTATCAAATCCTAATTAATCCAATTGCAACCTAATTTGTCAACTTTGTCTAAATCAACTCTTGGTTAATACTTCAATTGAATTTAAGAATTTACTAATTTTTTTGTTTTAAATTCTATTCTTTTATAATACAATTTTGAGCCACCTTATATCTAAAGGTCTTATACAATAGCATGACTTACAACTTTGAAATGCAAGGGCTTTAATGTGGTGATTTGGATGCACAACTTCTTGAGTAGTAGAAAGTTTGTGAAGTTTAATGAGGACTTGTTCTTCTTCAATGTCCACTTTGAGTAAAACCTCTCGTGCAAATAATCAGAATTAACCTATCAATGGTGCTAATAGGATTGCAACCATCTACTATACTACCTATATGATATCTTATAACTGCATTGTTTAAGCCTAATATTGATTCAAATTTAGTTCTATAATAATCTTTATTATTCTATTAAATTTTTGAATTTTACGTTTTAATACTTTGTTCTTGCCATTCACAATAGCATCAATAATTGGCAATCAAGACCTCAAATCTATCATCAATAGCATTCAAAAATAATTCTACTTGATATGTTCTAATGGGAGCACTTGATTGTGAGTAGTGGCGACGGTTTGGTATAACTTATATTGCTTTTGTTTGTATATTTAGTCAAAAGAAAAAGTGAAGACAACTAAGGCTTAACTATACTAAGGAGCTTTTTGAGTCAACTACAATCAATATGGCTTTGTCTTGTGCAAAAGACTTGTAATACATTTTAAATACATTAGGATAAGATCCTTGTTTTCAATAGATTGTACTCAATTTTGAATAATAAAATGACTTCAACAAGAGGACTATGATGGTGATAATGATAATCATTGCATGCCATCCTTGATCCACTAAAAAATGCACCTTAACATGAGCAAATAAAGTTCTAAATGGCTTAAAATCTAAACAATATTATCGTACTACTACTATGTCTAGATTGAGTAAAAATAAGAGCACAACAAATTAATAATCCAACCAAAGATGAGCTATTGTTGCACTCAATGTATTGCAAGCTTGTAGTCAACCATCTAATTGTCATAGCTCAATTGCACCATACCACAATCAATGCACTAGTTTCAATTGCTTCACTTAATACTGAGTTTCAACTATCAGAGAGCAATTAAGACCACATAGATGATGCTTACAATTATCAAAGTTCATGGTGTTATTATTACCTTAACACCTTGATAATAATTACAAATGTTGAAGAAAAATAAATAAATAAATCATATCAAAGAAGAAGATCTTAATTATTGGTGTTGAGGACGATGGAAAAAGAATGAGGCTAGAACCACAATCTTCGTTTGAGACTGTCTAGGCTGTACATAGCTCTCCTACACCACATTAAAAAAGTAGTCACAAGTTGTTCAAAGGTTGTACTAAGTGAT